TAAAAAACTAAAACCCAAACAAGAGGCCTTTTAGAAATGCAAAGGGAATTTCTTTTCTAAAGAACCATTTCTCACTCTTTGCCTACTCTTAAACCAGCCCCATGAAACAATCATGATTCTTTCTCTCTTTACAATGTCCTCTATTCCAAAGCCAAATTTGCTTTCTAACTTTTACCTCTTCAAAGCATTTTTACATTCAGTTCATACTGAGTAACCAAGTTCTGTAGACTTTACCCCTAAATATATGTTTTACCCCAAATATATGATTTACCCCTAAATCTATTCTATCACCATCTTTACTAACAGACCAGGGGATCTTAAAGTGTGGCACCCAAATCAGCAGCATTAGTATTAACCTGGGAACTTGTTAAACAAGTGAAAATTATTAGGCCCCATCCTAGCAATCTATGCTTTAACAAGCCCTCCAGGTGATTCTGAAGTTTGAGTTAGCTTTAACCTACACTGCCTGAAATAGTCCTCTAACTGGTCTCCATATCCAGCCTACTTATCCTATTTAATACATATTCCATGTACCCACAGGGTTCATCAGTGATTTTCCATTTACTGGAGTAGTGATTTTTCAAATACGGGCCTAATGACCCATTACAGAAGATAGTGAAGTCAATCCAGTGGATCAAGACCAGTATTTAATATTTTTTAAGTGAAATGAGAAGAAAACAAAACATATCAAAAAGCATCACATATAGAAGAAATAAGTATTATTTTGTTAAACTTTATTTCGTGTGTGTGTGTGTACATGTATTTCCTATTACAGACCATAATTTAAAAGGTTTGAAAGACACTTGTCTACTGCAGTGCTTCTCACACTTTATTCACACTTACGCAAGGATCCTGTTAAAATGCAGGTCAGGGAAGTTTCCTGAGACTCTGCATTTCTAACAAGCTCCCAGGTAATGGCCAGATGGTCCTCAGACCTCATTTTCAGCTACTAAACTGAGAAATCTTAGAACACAATTAAACTTGCTACTTCAGCTTCCTTAACTCATGGCATAGTAAGTTTTACTGAACCTGAGATATGGCAGATTTGCAATATTTTACACAATTTTGCCAACTAAATGTTCAGAGAATTGGGATGGTGGCGTTCTAGTTAACTAATGGGGAAACATACAATTTTTTGCCTTAACTATGGTTAACAGTCTTTAAACATGAATTTCCTATTTCCTGCCTTAAGAAATGAGTAAACGGAGTTAAAATGCATTTTCTTTGATGATTAATAATTTTGAATTGCCTCAGGATAATCTACCATTATCTCAGGATAATGTTAAGAGTTACAGAAGCTCTAACTATAGGACAACGTAAGTGTAGATGTATAAGATATAGAGAAAGAATGGGCTCAATTTAATAAGCACTGATCTCAGATTATACTCTGGATATTTTAATTTTTAACCAAGATCCTGAAATAAACTACAATTTTTTTTTTCGGGAGGAGGAAGGATGGTCTCTTTTTTCATCAAAGTTGAAAGAAGAAAAAAAAATTATCCAGTTCCAATTAATCAGGCCCAACCAAAAAAGTCAGTTATGCTATAATTCATTCACAGAACAGCTAATTTACTAGATGCTTACTCTGTGCCAGCTACAGGCCTACGTGCTGGGGATACAGAGATGAGAAGACAAAGACTCTTCCCTAGAGGTACATTGTCTAAAGGGTTTTGTAGATTTCAATGTCTCTGCAGCTGACTGGATGAGGGTTTCTAGTGGGTCTTTCCCATTGATTTCTCAGCTAAGGGCAGAGACAAGTCTTTTACTATCTTAATTTTCCATAGCACCTGGCACGGTGCTCTGCAGGCCATCAAATACAATAGTTGATAAATGTTGATGACTACTCAACTCTTTCATTCACCAAGTTACTAATTGTATTTGAAGAGAATATTAAATGCAGCTGAGTAACATCCCAATCTGTGCCATTTTTGTTATATAAGGGGTTTGGTCAAAATGGAACGTTCATTTGTGCAGCATAATAACCAGCTCCATCGCCCTGAGCTTCATAAAAATGCATAGTCACTGAGGATGGACTATTCTTGACTATCCATCTTCCTTCATTTAGGCAGACACATGGGGGAAATAAGAAAACTAGACTGTTTAGTTTTTTTCCCACAAAAATAAAATTTGCCCAGGTTCCCTGATAATCTATACAAATATTAAACCATCTTCATCATCACATACAAAAAAATGAACTTTGGGTAAGGAGTCCCCAGCCCTCATCTCAATTTCAGGTCTGTTCTGCTATTGGTAATATCTGTTTTTGTTTCATGGTTGTCAGATATAACAGAACCTTAAATGTCATTTACATTCATTAAAGTAACTTTTCTTTTTTTTTTTAGTTTAAACCATCCACTGTGATCACAAAAAATTAAATTTCACTTTTGATGAGAAAGGGAAAACTGCATAATCATGGAGTTATTTAATTTTAGAACTTGAAATTAAGACAAAACATGGATATTTAGGGAGAAATGGAAAGATTAAATTAATAGTAACAACTCACAGGAAATCTAGATCATTTAATGATACTTCAATTAGTTATCCAAAACAGGTACATGCTAAGGAAGGGATATATTTTTTGTTTGATTATCTTGCAAAAGTTAAGAGTTGGGGCATCTTTTTTTTTTTTTAGCTGAGCCATCCTGCCACCTGTTGGCAGCTCAGCGGCTGCTCAGCTTGGGCTGGGAATTGAACCGCTGGTGCTCAGAGCTTGCACTTGAGCGAGCTCTTAACCAACTAGCCACTCAGCCAGCCCGAGTTGGGGCATATTTTATAACATGGAAAAAGAACCCATGTTGAGGAGAATAGGAAAGCCCATTAAAAATAAACAGGAATACAGGCTAATCAATAATTTAGTATCATTTTACAGAGATTCCAAAGCCAACAGTAAACGAATACTTAAGTACATAAAAGGGATAAAGTAAGCTAAAGCTTGGATGGAACCGTTAATGCTTAATGCCTAACAAGTTCACTTAAGGATAGAGAGGGAGCAGGATGGTGACCGAGGCAACAGAGGCACTATTTCTTAAGGAATGGGATCCAGAAAAAAGAATTTTGGAGCAAACTCTTGGAAGGGAAACTGGAGTCAAACAATGTAGTCCTAGATAAATAGAATGGAGAGGATACGCTGGCCTTTTTCTCTTGCATACGAGAGACGCTCCATTTTCTTCTCTCCATATCTGACTTGCATTTTCCCCTCCTTTCACATGTCTCTTTCTTAATTGGCCAGAACATAAACTTGAATTATTCTCTGTAATGTGTTATATTCATATTTGTGATATTTAATATCTTGTATAGATCTGTGTAATATCTCTTGTATTTTGATAAAGTGAAATCCTCTTTGCTATAAACTTTGAGGTCAAGTGCACTGAGTTGTTTTCGATGTCTACTTTTCTCCTCATTGACATTTATCTCCTACCTTTTTTAAAAATTCGAGTGGCTTTCCAATAATTTCTTTCTCTAGGAGACAATGGCCCATAGAAGAAAGGTTCCTCATCTCGGCTTATGTCTAATAAATTCTCTCACATTGAGGTTTATGCCCTGTTTTCCCTGTCTAATTCTACCCTTTAGAGAAATACTAATTTCAGTTTTTATATAAAACCTACATTAAACCTATTAATTCACCGTGGATCTTTCTGTTTAGGATAACCAATCCTAGCTCCTCATTTGCCTTTTAGGAGGCAGTACGGTATGTTAAGAGTACAGGTTCCAAATTCAGATACACCAAAGTTTTAGTTTTCTGCCACTTATGACTCAGTGACTTTGACAAGCTGCTTGACCTTACCAAGCCTCAGCTTCCTTAGCTGCAAAATAGGTATAATAATTGTACCCACCTTATCGGGTTACTATAATATTAAATAAGTTTAAAGTTCTCCACATATTGCTTAGCATAGTGCTCAAAAACTTCTAACCGTTCTTATTTTCCAGTAATGTACCTTTATCCAAAGCTGTTCAAATATGGCTCTTGTCTTAACCCCTATACTTTCAAGTTCCTCTTATGTCAAAAATATTAGACCACATAGTTTCTAACTACATGCTATACCTTATTTTTAACAACCCATTCTCAAGTTTTTCTCAATGTACCACTCAGGTTGATTTCATGTTTTTAGGATGTCTTTCTCCTGGGACCTACAGAAAATATTCTGCTCTTTAACTTCTACATATCCTTCGAAATAAAAGGTAGATTATCACGGTCTCTATGTCAACAGATTAATAGGGGTCTAGAAGCTTAATGGACTGAAAAGAGGCAAAATGGTCAGTGACAAGGACTAAAGTAGAACATCACCATCCGTGACACTCCATATTCTGGATCAGCCAAGCTTGCTGGGTTTGCCTGAATGCACTAACTTGTTAATTTGTTAAATATATAGTGAGCACTGTGCTAGAATGTGACAGGTTAAAAAAAGATCTGGTCTCTGCTCTTGAGGAACTTCCAGAATAAAATTAATGGTTACTGTGTAGTAAGGGTATTACTAGGTACATTAGCAGTGTGACATGGGAGCACAGTGGAGAGATATCCAAACCAGATTGCATTCCAATTTTTTTATCTTAATAATGGGTAAAAAAGGGCTCTGAGTCTAAAAAAGAATGTTTAATTCCTACCTTCCTTTTTTTTTTTGCCATTTTTGGTGTAAAGGATGACATATTAGTGCTTTAATCAAAGGGAGGTGATAAAAGTTTAACAGAAGAATGACAAAAATTGTGGTTTTTAAGTGCCTCCCCCAACCCGCCAGTCCCTCACCCCTCCCTCTTTCATGTTTTTGAACTTGGGTAAGTAGCTTCACATTCTGGGCTTAATTTGCTTCGTCTATCAAGTGAGGCTGTATCCTCCACACTGTATGGGAGGGATGGAAAAGGTGACTGATGAAGGTCCCTCCCACTGAACTCAGACATCTCCAGATCCAAAAAGGCAGCAAGAATCTTCCCAAGGAAGGGGTGAGGAGTAGGAATGAGGGTCTAGGAAGCAAGGGACAGTGCAGGAGGCCGAAGCCAATTCTCACCGAGAGGATCTTATCTCCCTCCTGGAGCCGCCCGTCCAGGGCCGCAGCCCCGTTCTCTTTGATGCGACTGACGTAGATGCCACTGTCGTTGGAGACTTCCTGCTGGTCTGTCCCACCGATGATGTTGAAGCCCAGCCCTGAGAAAATCGGGGAGGAGGTGTAAAGAAGATGGGGTGAAGAGAAAGAAAGGGATCTAAGCAGAGGAGGAGGAAAAGAGAGGAAAGGTCTGGTGGAGAGGGGAGACTCGTGAGTCAAGACTGTGATGCAGCTGGTGAACAGTCATGGCAAGGTAAGTGAATACTCTCACCAACAGAGGCCAAGAGCACCTAGAGTTGCCCACTCAGACCAGGTAGAACTGGAAATACAAACACAGTAATCGTCATAGTTTGCTGAGTATAAGAAAAACGTTTATACTGGCTCAGTGAACCAATAATGTGATTCTTGTCAGGTGTGCTTCTGCTCACACTTGATTCTGATTCTGTTGGTGACATAAAGAGGACCCAATTCTTGGCTTTCCTGCTGTGTTCATGATAAGAAACCATGCGTTTAAGTAACTGGCAAATGAACTATTCCTAATTTAGTGGGGGAGAGATTCCTAACCAAACCTTCCCCTCCATACTTTTCCAAACATTTGGGAGAGTTTGTGTATGGTGGTGTTTTAGAAGAAAAGGCTGTGGGAGTTTCATTTATTTTTTCTATTTTGAATTGAGGGGGCAGTAGTGCAGGTGTTGGCAGAAAACCTGGGAAATAGAAAGGTGACTGCTGCTTCATAATAGGACTGAATCACGAAATTCCATCTTCTTTCCTTTTCTACCTCAAGTGCAAACAACCACATACTTGGGTACAGTGATTGTCAAGTTTTACTTATGGGAGAAAACTCACTACTCAATGATTAGTGACTCCCCATTTCCCCTTCTCCCTAGCCCCTGGCAACTAACATTCTATTTTTCACGTCTAGGAATGATTATTCTAAATGGGAATAAAATTTCAGTTACACAAGATTAGTAAGCTCTAGAGATCGGATGTACAACACTGTGCCTATAGATAACAAAGTGTACTGTACACTTAAAATCTGTTGAAAGTAAATATCATTTAGGTGTTCTTACCATAATAAAATTAAATTAAATTTAAAAAAAAGAAAACTGACTACCAAAGTACTATTTCCATGGACCAACCACTAAGTTGTGGGAAGAATTTCACTTTACTAAAACCATTGTTATAAAGAGATTTTACCTATGCATTAAAAAGGGGGGGAGAACTTCTCTAGGGTTTTCTTTATGTCAGGTACTGCAGAATTCAGAGCCACAATACAAAGAGAAAAAAGATAGCTTTCAAACAATTAAAAAACAAAAACCTGGTAGCACAATTGGAAGGAATAGCCATAATCACTATACTAATACTGGTTTCAATAGAAAACATACTTACAGAGACATGTAGGCTTTCTAAAAGTTCCCCCTTGCCATTGGTGGATTAAAAGCGTACACAAAAAGTTCATAGTATTAATACAAGCACTAGAAAATCAATCTGTGTTTTAAGGAAATGCATGGCTAAAGAGAGAAACAGCAGAAAACTTTTAACTTAAAATGCCATACTTTGTGCACAGAGTATTTGCAGCTAGAGAATGAAAAGAGGGATTTAAGATACAATAAAAAGAACGACTCCTGAAAGATGACTATTTCAACTTCCTTGAAGGGTAGGATATGAAAATTTTAAGTGGCTAAATAGTTTCTCTTAAAACACTTAATTTGTAGTATATTAGGTGGGAAGTATTGGAAAGGGGATGGTGGTAGTTATTTGAGATAAGATGGAAAGATAGGTGGAGCCTGATTATGGAAGCCTCTGAAATGTCTTCAAAAGTGTGACAGGTTTGAGCAAAGTGACTGAGGCCAACCAGTCTCTCCTCAATACTGGGACAAACTATTTAGAGGAAATCTTTCAATGAAATCCAACATCCTCACCAAACACTACAGTTGCCCCTGGAATGTTGGATGTAAGAGGCATGTGTTCATCAGTTGAATAATATATTAGTTAAAAAGAGGAGGGACTTTGCTACTGGTTATTTAAACCTACAGAACAGCGTCTAAAAAAGAAGAGTAGAAGAAATCTTATTAAAATTTTCTATAAACAAACAAATGCACTCTACTCCCCTGAGAAATCAGATTATATAGGCATTTTAATTGCCTACTGCTACTTCAGTTGTAAATGAACTACACCACTTAACATGAGAACTCCTGGACAATGTGAAATCTCTTTCTTCAGCCAGAACATTCATAGAACTGAACTCACTTATTATTCAAAGTATTGCTGTAATAAACAGAAGTCACCAAAGCACTGAGTAAGCGGCAATACCAATTCAAACCCGGGCCCTATGGTTACCTACATGATCCCCAGTTCATTTGTTCACTTAAAAATTACTGATCATTTACTATGTGTCAGGGACTATGTTATGTTCTGAGAAAGGCATAAAGCTAAAGAGGACAGTCCCTGCTTTAACCATGAACAAAAATTTACCCTTTTCCCTGTCCCTTTCAGATTTTGCAGAAGCATGTTAAAGTCAGAAGACCTGATCATAAATTTAATTCCATGACTTACAAGATACATGGACTAAAACAAGTCAGTGTACCTCTGATTCTCTGCTTCCTTTTCTGTAACATAAGTGTTACAAATGCTGCCCACTCTACCCCCAGAAGGTAACTGTTAGGGTCCAATTACATAAAATCTGAAAAATCTTTATAAATTACATAGCGGTTGCTATATAGAGTAGCTGCGCTAAGAGTAGTTGCCAATAAACAAACCAGATAGTTTGATGGAGGAAGGATGAATAACTACACAGTGTAAGTGTCAAAAGTCCTGAAATATAGGAAGGCAGAGAGATGAAAAAGTCTGTCCATCTATTAATAGGACAAGATTGAACTGGAACTCAAATTTATTGAAATTAAGTATGTCTATAACCTGTGACCCAGACATCCGCCCTCATGAGTAGTGTCTAGCAAGTGTGGTATTCAAAATAAGCAGCAATCAGTCCAGCAGGTGCACCAACCAACTACAACAGATGTCAAGTGGAATAACCAGAAGCAGAAGGGCTATCCCTGTACATATCTGCTGATTATGGGTTGTGTCCTAGGACAATCTTCCATAAACCTTCCAAAATCCTGGTTTGTCTGGCAGTCTTGATATACATCTGTTGTCCCAGTGTAATCAAAATATTCTCTTTCAATTTCAAAAGCATCTCAGTTTGGACCAATGTGATCATCCTATCTATAAAGGGTAATGTAACAATATGTTAACTGCAGTGCATTTTGTAATAGTGTGGATATAACAGTAATTTAGGCATCCATTCTTTGGGGAAAAGATAAATAAAATATAGTTAAAAGTTAGAAGCACTGAAAAATCATACGTAAAATAAAGTTTTAAAACGCAATGTTGATATTAATAGCACGATATCTTCTTATAAATTAAAACCCATACACACAAAACAATATTACCTACTTTAAAAATGCATGCATATTTAAGGACATGTAAAGACACATTAGAGTGGGTAACTATGGAGGAAAGACACAGGATGGGGTTAGGCATGAAGGGTAAAAATAAAACCAGAAAGGGAATTTGCACATGCTGATGATGACAATGTGTTATGGAGCAAAAGGATATAATTAATTCAGTTCTCAGCATCTACGATCCAAAAGGGGTTGAGGAGAGAGGACAAAGAAAAAGACCTGGATTCAATACACTTTTAAAAAAAGAAATTTTAAAATGTGGTGTGAACCAAAATATCTAAACCAGTCACTGATATCAAGGGGCCCAAAAATGGAGTCGGGAGGCCATTAAGAAAGTGGGGCCTCTGCAGCCTATGCGCATCCTGTGCCTCAGTTCTCAGAGGGGCTAGTAAGTTGCTAAAGCTATTGCTAAACTCAGCTCAAGGCTGAGCCATAAACATCCTGGAACAACTACTACATGGACACATAGGGACTTTACCTCTTTTTGGTAGTTTTTGCCTCTCGTTTTCCTTACTGGAGCCTAGCCAATAATCCTTCATTTGCACGAAAGAATTACATTTTATGGCTTTTGCCCTTATGAACTCTGCCTTTCTTTGTTCTCCTGGAGCACAATTTAGGTTGCCACATGAATTTGTGTATACTGGGTTGCAGCTTCTTTTGCTCATATAAATACTTTTTATTCTTTATTACAGTCTAAAATTAACCTGGTTTATAGTGGCGAGATTAAAATGGGTTGCTTAGTCTCTAATTTAGAAATCTAAACACAAAAAAAGTAAAGATGACACAAGAATGACACCTCCTTCTCCATAGTACTGGGAAAGAAAGAAAGTGAGCCTCGTTTAAGAGCTTTGGAAAGTTTAAACAAGAAATGCCTTCTTGTGGACTCCTCCTGTCTCCAGGTCTGGACCTTGAGCTTGTTTATGAATAAGAGCTGCAGCAACAAACACCTAACATTTATTGAGCGTTAAATATGTACCAGGTACTATGCTTATGTACTTGACATCATTATCTCATTTAATCTTCTAAACAAACACATGAAGTGATTATTGCTCATATTTTAGGGATGAATTTAAAAGGTGAGGCATGAAGAGATTAGGTCACACAGTTAGCTCTTCATGCAAAGCCAAGACACTAAGTCAGGATATTTGATTCCAAAGTGTGAGTTTTAAACCACTTTGCTATACTCTATCTTTGTAAAAAGCATGAACTGATTTAGAAAAAAAGTCTGCAAAGCACTGCTGGCTATCATGGGAGTCAATTTGTCTTTGGGCTGGCTCTGCATAAGCAATGTTGGGATAATGGTTGTAGAACAGCCCCAAAGGGTAATATATTCCAAAGGCAGAATTGGGTCATTCCGGAGATCTGTCACCTTAGAGTCACTACTGCTTACTTTCAGGCCAGAGAAAGAACAATCCTTCATTTCATTCAGATTCTTGTCAATTAAATCTGAAAGTTATAAAGCAAAAGACCAATGTTCAACAATCTGTTATTCTGGAAATAATTCTGGACATAAATGAAACAAAACAGTACATTAACATCAATGATGATAACCACTTGTTGAGTTATAAACACCAGATCGACAAACATCCTATTTGCCCCCTATCTACTTGCAGGTGTTTTCTGTCCGAAGAT